CCCAATTGATCTTACTTCTTGGAAACTGCCTGGGAATGTCATCAGTCACGACCATGTACTTGCAAGTGGCTGCAACCATTGTAAAAGTGAGCTGGTTGCCAAATGCCCAATGTGATCATTTGACCTCAGGTGTGATGTAACAATCCTAGCTTCAAGAAGAGGTCATAAATCACTTTTTCTGAGGTCATTGTAACTTTAACCATTGTTAAGCAAAGTCACATGTCAAGGATTATTTGAACAAAAAATGAGTCAAAGAAAATAAGGAGGCCTTACGGGATTTTAAATACAGACCAACAGACAACTGAAACACATTATATCAAATATTTCTACTTTAAAAAGGAAAAAAAAATGTGTGGCACTTAAATGCAGCAATACTGGGAATTGTTGACCAAAACCAATTTTTTTTAAAAGAAAAAATGGGTTTGCAAATTTAAGACTTTGGAAGAAAAAGTAAACTACAATACCAATAACTGGATTTCTTAAAAATGATACCAAAAGGATCCAGCAAATATTTGGAAGATTTCAATGCCTTGGGCTTTACACCACTGGTTGCATACATTAAAACTTTAATAAAAGCAGATAAAAGCAGATAGGCAAAAATAAAAATAAAATAAAATGATCATAGAATCTTAGGACTGGAAGGGACCTTGGAGGACTTCTATTCCAACCCATATTGTGCAGAAATACATTAAAAGCCTCCTTTACAATGAATTCCAAAATCTACCTCAGGAACTGCCTTCTTAGCAAAACATGCCTTTAATGTTACATTTCCATTCATTTTTAGGGTTAGATTTGACAGTGGGAGTGATGCATTTAGTACACATTCATTATAACATTTTTTCTGTCAATTTATGACTCTGGTTGTTATTATTATTTGAACTAATTAATTTATATTATCCCATGAAGAGGCAGAGGAGGACTCCCAAAGTGATGGGAGTTCCAGGATCTTACCACTGACTCATCCTTCTGGTCTATTAGCTATTACATGTGGATTAAAAACATAAAATAGGTAGCCCTTAATATTGGGGCTGAGCCAAAATTAGACACGGAAGGGGCTCGGAAGGTAGAAATGTATCGTCCTGACAGACAAGGGTATTCCATTTGTGTCTGATATTTTCAGCAGCATTTGGAGTCACATAAAAATGAATACATACATTTCAGTGGTGGGATTCAAAAAAATTTACTACCGGTTCTGTAGCCGTGGCTTGATGGCGTGATGTGGCTTGGTGGGCGTAGCTTGGTGGGCATGGCAGGGGAAGTTACTGTAAAATCTCCATTCCCTTCCCACTCCAGGGGAAAGTTACTGCAAAATCCCCATTTCCTCCCCATCAGCTGGGA